CACACTATTATAAGCATGAAATATATTATATCTCATGCCCTCATACCATTCCATGCACACACACATGCACGCACAAGGACAACAACCCGAGTGCAAACCATGGTGTTGCACCAACAAGCCTCTCACTCTCTCCTCTCTCTCCGTGCCGCCCTTATTAGGTGGTGGGGGGAGGGGAGGTTGAGGGGGTGGATGTCAGAATGTGTTTTCTGTCTAGTCTGCAGTGGGGTACTCTGTAGTGAGTACAACCCAATTAGGGTTTCCTATTTGTATCCCAACTGTTGCTAGTGCAACCCCTCTTCTCTGTTTCATTCCTCGTTCTATCTTTCACATGGTTTCAGAGCAGGTCGACCCTCCCTGGTCAATCCTGTGGATGGGCCCACCCGATGCTTCCGCTGCTGTACTGCCTGTCGCGCGCCCCGGGCGCGCGACGTTTTCTGCCTGCCGCGCGCTCGGGGCGCACGGCGGTTTTCTGCCCGTCGCACCGCCCTGCTGGTCGCGTACTGCTCTGCCCTGCCCGTCGCACCGCCCTGCTGGTCGCGTACTGCTCTGCCCTGACCCTCACGACACCCCCGGGGAGCCGCGCGCGCCCCCCGTCGACCCTCGCGTCGCCCCCGCTGGACCCGCGCAACGCCCTGCGGGACCCGCGCGCTGCCCCTCTGGACCCGTGCGCGCTTTACCGTGGACCTGCGCGTTGCCCCGTCGACCAGCGCGCCGCCCCGTGGGAGCCGCCCACGCCCCCCGTCGACCCGCGCGTCGCCCCAGGGGATCCGCGCGCGCGGCTTCGTCGAACCGCGCGCTGCCCCCGTCGACCGACGCGTCGCCCCAGGGGACCCGCGCACCCTGCCCCGTGGACCCGCGCGCGCTGCCCTGTGGAGCCGCGAGCCGCCCCTTGCCCTCGTGCTGCTGCGGGGCGGCTTCATCCCCGCCCCCCCCCCCCCCTCCTTCCCCGTTGTCTCTCTGCTGCGTGTGCATCCGTGGGGGAGGGTATGGGGGTGGCGGGTGTGCGTCGTCCCTTGCTCCTCCTCCTCCTCTCACACTGCTGCAGCTGCCGCTGAGGGGGGTGGGTGTGTGGGAGCCAAGGGAGTCGCGCTAGGGGGTGTCGTGGGAGTGGAGCTAGAGGTGCAGCAGGGGGTGTGTGAAAGGGGGGTGGGACAGTTGGGGGAGGATGAGCGGAGGTAGCTGTCGTGTCGCCAGCAGCGCCAGTAGTCCGGAGGCTACAATCTCCAGTAGTCGCCAGTCGCCCGTGGGTCAGTTGCTCCAGCCGCTCGGCGTAGCTGCGGAGCCAGTTACTCCTGAAGTCCGGGCCATTGCTTCGGTAGCCACTGAGCCAGCCGCTCCAGTGTGTCTGCAGCTTCCGCCGTCGCCTCCCATCTCCTCTCCTCTCACAGCCCCTCCTCCTCCTCACTTGCCCTCTGTGACTGCCTCTAGCTTTGCTTGTGTTTGTGAACTATTCTATGACTGCTTGCTGTGCTGATTATACCCCACTTTGACTATGGGGGTGTGTCAGAATGTGTTTGCTGTCTAGTCTGCAGTGGGGTACTCTGTAGTGAGTACAACCCAATTAGGGTTTCCTATTTGTATCCCAACTGTTGCTAGTGCAACCCCTCTTCTCTATTTCATTCCTCATTCTATCTTTCACAGTGGAGGGGGAGAGAGCATCTCAACTTTACCAGCCTCCTCCTCCATTCTCTCCTCTCTGCCTTCTCCTTTCCATTCCAGCCACCTTCCTCCTCTCTCCTCTCCCTTCCAGCCGAATTCCTCCTCCTCTCTCCACTCCCTTCCAGCCGCCTTCCTTCTCCTCTCACAACTCTTCCTCCTCCTCTTTCCTCTCCAGCCAGCCAGGCAGGCAGCCAGCTAACCAGCCAGCCAGCCAGCCAGCTGGAAGTCCTCACCTTACGCACGTGCCAGTAGAGCTGCAGTGATTCGGCCTTTGGGCTTCCAGCTTTCACTAGCTATGTCATGCAGGCAGTTATGGGGTGTGTCACAACATGTATATTGTTGTAACTGTCTGGGGGCTAGCTAGTGTAGTTCGTGTTCCATTCTTATTGGTGGTGCACCTTTGTGTCATAGCATTTATTTTCAGTTTTCCTTGCCAGTTCAAAACGAAGCCTCCCACAGCGATGACTTCCGTCCCTCTCTCCTGCCTCGCCACATAGCATCTAGCTAGGGAGCCATGTCGGCTCTCGACATGCTAATGAAGATGCGGGCAGTTAGTGCTGCTCGCGTTATGGCGTCGATGGCGAACGGTCCCCCAGTCCCACCTGCACCACCTGCACCACCTGCACCTCCTGCACCTCCTGCACCTCCTGCGCCTCTTGCTCCACCTGCCCCACCGTCTCCTCCCTCACCTCCTGCGCCACCATCGCCTCCGGTACCAGATCCTCCGTTCCCTTACCTCTTCGAGCCCACGAGTGTTGAAGCCGGTTTTGAGGTGCTGTCCGACAACGATCTCGAGCATACCGGACCACTCGCGACTGACAAGGACGATCATGCGGTCGTTGAATCAGCAGCCTATCCCTTACCCATATTTCCCGATGATATCCTACGTGATGCTACTAACGCAGAAGTCTAGGCCCGTGATGCGCAGCCCCCTGAAACTCGTGGCAGGACGAACAAGCACAAACGGCACTCGCGCACCATGGAGGAAAAGAAATCGTGGCTCACCTGGATGCGCGCCGAGCAGCTCTCGGTGCGCGACACCGCACGACTTGCCGGCATGGAGCCCGTCAGCATCCGCCGTTGGAAGAGGGCGGCATTAGATATTGAAGGTACAACAACATGCCGGAAGCGGCTTGTCGGAGGTGGGCGACAGGCAAAGTATCCGAACACGAAGCAATCCGTGTACAACCAGTTCCTCGCCTACCATACTCGCAGCTTGGCAGTCCCCATAAAACTTCTGCAGCAGTGGAGTCATACATCGATGAGGAACCTCCACCCACAGGTGGACTGGCGCGCATCTCCCCATTGGACCCAGCGCTTCCGAGCAAGGTGGGGTCTCACCGTGAGGGTTTAGGGTTTCCAGGCTTACACCTCAACGAGATGCTTCCAGGCTTCCAAGGCTGGAGCGGCGCTCTCTTTGTAGGAGCGAATGCTGAGTTGTTCCGCAGGCGTCATGTTGCGTAGCAACACACTGTATGCCATGAGGGACTCGCTGTAGTACTGAGTCCTGGCGTCTTCGGTGTCTTCCACCGGTTTTGCGTAGGAGCCGTCGAAGTAATGGTAGATCTGCGTTGTTTGTAGGAGGAGCTCAAGCTCGAAACTCCGAGTGTAAAAATCATTGCCGTCAAACGCGGTAGTGGTCTTAATTTTTGAAACGCTGAGGAAGCGTGCTTGCGCAGAGTTAATGACTTCATCACTTGGACGGGGGGCAGTTGTTGTTGATTTGTCTGTGTCGAGGGAGAAGGTGTGCGCGGCGGTATCACGGCTTTTCGCAGCCGGTTGTCCAGGTTGAGCTGGTTGGGAAGAAGTTCCCGCATCGCCTTTGCGCAATTCTTGGAGGTCTTTCTCCATAGTTGATAGTCGCGAAAATAACTGCTCGAGTGCGGCAGTGCTGATCGTAGTTGTCGCCTCATTTGTCGCAGCCGGGTTGGTTTGTCCTTCGGCCGTCAGATTCGCTTGGCCTTCGGATCCTCCGGCCATCTTGGTCTTGGAGCGTGTGCCGCTCGCCAGAACTTGATTCGGCAAATTTCACGGAAGTGAAGTTGCGAAGAATCCCTGAGTAGCTCTCATACCATGTTACAATCCCAAGTGGGACTTAGCGAAGGATCGCTCAGGGTTGATCGCATGGTGTGTTGCAGCGGAAGTAGTGAACTCAGGTCAGAGTGAATGTAAATGACTGAGATTGATAATAGCATGCATACACTGAGTTTATATAGGAAATACAAAGGAATACGAAACGACCTAGACTAGCCATGTACTCTAAGGGGTAGATTCCCTTATTACAGCGAAGTTCAAACCGTGCGGCGCGGGAACCCGTTTCAAACCTGTTCCCGCTCTTTTCACTTCGAATGTTTCTGCCTGCATCGGTCTTGATCAGACGGTTACCAGTGTCGCTTCGACTCTTCTGACTCCTCGGCTTCGTACACTTTAGAGTCGGCCCCTGCGGCATACCGTATTACCCCGGATAAAAGCGCAGGTGCGCTTATAATAAATCTGTGTTTTTTGGGGGGTGCGCTTATAAATGAGTCACGGGCATAAGCGCATGCGCTTATATAATGACAAATACATAAATATGTTTTAAGCGCACCAAATTGTTCATCTTAGTCTTGTGATTCCAATCGAATCGAAATATTAGTGCGTCTTAGATCAGAATCGCGCGAGGGCGATTGATCCCCCCCCCCCCCCCCCCACGTGCGTGCTGTCAGCCAGCCAGCTTCGTGCCGTTTCGCGCGAGGGCGATTTTTTGCCTCTTCGCCCCCACCCACGTGCGTGCTGTCAGTCAGGTTCGTGCCGTATAGCTTTTCCCGCCCTTACCGAACCGAACGGGCGAGTATGTTGGCCGACTTGTCGAGGGTGTCAAAGCAAAGGACGTAGACTCGCTGCAAAGCGGAAAATCGTTACGGTACCTAGTCAGGAATAAAATAAAATTATGCATGCGCTTATAATAAGTAAAGATTTCACAGAGGGTGCGCTTATAATTGAGGATCGGGCATAAGCGCATTGCTCCAGATATAAGCGCATGCGCTTTTAATAGGCCTGCGGTTATATCCGGGGCGATACGGTACAGGAATGCCTTCTTGTAAAGTTTCATATCGTAACAGGTCCTAAAACAGGGGGGCGCTTTTCACCGGGATATTACGGTAATATCAATGGCAACAAAATATTACACCACCATCAATGGCAAATCATAAATGAATTACTCAATAATCTTAGTCCATGTCAAACTCGGTCTCGTACTCGTACTCCTGCAACCACCCCAGCTCCTTCCCCAGCGCATGGCAGATTTATATCACCTGTGAAACTAAATGGTACCGTACTAACTGATAATACCTGAGTTCAGCTCAATAATCATAGTCCATTTCAAACTCGGTCTCGTATTCATACTCCTGCAGCCACCCCAGCTCATTTCCCAACGCATCCATGCGCTTCCTCTGTGCGTCAAAGTCCGTTAGTGGGGTGGTAAACGGGTATATGTACACCACGCGCCCCGCTATAGAGCGGTATAATACATTGTCGTCGCGCAGTAGCAGCTCGATAGTGTCTCGCCCAAACAGGCCGTCTGTTTTGGCCCTTATGTAGTGCCCTCCTGAGAGGTGGGGCATGTGGGAAGGGACAGAAGCAAATGGATCGTGTAAGAGACTGTGCATTTGCATTCGTGTGTGTGTGTGTGCGTGTGCGTGCGTGCGTGCGGGTGTGTGTGTGTGTGTGGGTGTGTGTGTGTGTGTGTGTGTGTGTGCGCGCGCGCGCGTGTGGGTGTGCATGTGCGTGCATGTGCGTGCGTGCGCGTGTGCGTGTGCGTGTGCGTGTGTGTGTGCGTGTGTGTGTGTGCGTGTGTGTGTGTGTGTGTGTGTGCGTGTGTGTGTGCGCGCGCGCGCGTGTGTGTGTGTGTGTGTGTGTGTGTGTGTGTGTCTGTACTTGTGTGGGTGCCTGAGGAGTAGTTGGCTTTTGAGAATTCTAACAATCAACAAGTCATGAATGTAGTTGCCATGGGAAGATAGAACAAGGGGAGGAAGAAAGAGAGGAGAGGCGGGACAGTGGGGGGGAAGGGGAAAGGAGGGAGAGAGGGAGGGAGGGGGGAGGGAAGGAGGGAGGGAGGGAGGGAGGGAGGGAGGGAGGGAGGGAGGGAGGGAGGGAGGGAGGGAGGGAGGGAGGGAGGGAGGGAGGGAGGGAGGGAGGGGGGGGAGGAGGGAGGGAGGGAGGGAGGGAGGGGGGGGAGGAGGGAGGGAGGGAGGGAGGGAGGGAGGGAGGGAGGGAGGGAGGGAGGGAGGGAGGGATGGAAGGAGGGAAGGAAGGATGGAAGGAGGGAAGGAGGGATTGAAGGATGGAAGGAGGGATGGAAGGAGGGAAGGAAGGATGGAAGGAGGGAAGGAGGGATGGAAGGAGGGAAGGAAGGATGGAAGGAGGGAAGGAGGGATGGAAGGAGGGAAGGAGGGATGGAAGGAGGGAAGGAGGGAAGGAAGGATGGAAGGAGGGAAGGAGGGATGGAAGGAGGGAAGGAAGGATGGAAGGAGGGAAGGAGGGATGGAAGGAGGGAAGGAGGGATGGAAGGAGGGAAGGAGGGATGGAAGGAGGGAAGGAGGGATGGAAGGAGGGAAGGAAGGATGGAAGGAGGGAAGGAGGGATGGAAGGAGGGAAGGAGGGATGGAAGGAGGGAAGGAGGGATGGAAGGAGGGAAGGAGGGATGGAAGGAGGGAAGGAGGGATGGAAGGAGGGATGGAAGGAGGGAAGGAGGGATGGAAGGAGGGTAGGAGGGATGGAAGGAGGGGAGGAGGGATGGAAGGAGGGAAGGAGGGATGGAAGGAGGGTAGGAGGGATGGAAGGAGGGGAGGAGGGATGGAAGGAGGGAAGGAGGGATGGAAGGAGGGAAGGAGGGATGGAAGGAGGGAAGGAGGGATGGAAGGAGGGGAATATGCGCTACAAGCGTCTCACCATCAGCGACGTCAACCGACTCCTCAATAGTTGGGTTCTTGAGCGCCGAGAGCAGCACTCCCTCTAGTCTCTGTTGCCACCATGCATGCATGCATGCATGTGTGCACACACGTAGACATGGGTTCATGCACACACACAGACATGGGGGCATGCACACAGATGCGGATACATGGCAGTGAGCGGGGGAGCAGCCCAGGGAAGGGAATAAGGGCGTGGGGCATCCTCGATTGGATTTGTCCAGACGAGCCTGTCCGCATTGGGGGAGGGCACGGTCGAGGGCGGTGAGTACGCGAGGTGAGGGAGGGCATGAGAATGAAAGCAACCAAGAATCAAGATTATTCCTACCTGCACAGCCCAACCGCACCTGCATAGCACCTGGACACACCTGGACAGCCCAAGTGTACCTGGGCGACCGTGGCAGTGCTGAGGGAGGGCACGGTCCAGGGCGGCCAGTAGGCAAGACTGGAAAGCTAAGGCGGGCTAAGGGCCAGACTGCCGTTCTCTGCCTCATCCTCTCACCACAACAAAGTTCCAGATTCACCGCACCTGGACTGCCGTGGCGGTGCTGAGTGAGGGCACAGTCCAGGGCGGCGAGTAGGCGAGGCTGAGGGAGGAGGTGGAGACGCAGTTGGGGTTGACCGCCAGGGGGCAGGGGCGGATGCGCCTGAGGGAGGGGGTGGGAGGGTGGGAGGAGCATGGGGGAAACACGGGACAGGCAGCAGGAGGGGATGAGGAGGGTGGAAACACAGTTGGGGTTCACTGCCAGGGGGCAGGGGCGGATGCAAGTGAGGAAGAGGGAAGCGGGGGAGAGGGGAGAGGGGGAGGGACACAGGTGGGGCAGCATGGAAGACAGAAGTCGAGGCTAAGAGTGGGGTGCAGATACGATGGGGCTCACTGGCAGGGGCAGGAGCGGATGCGAGTGAGGAAGGAGGAAGTGGGGGAGAGGGGAGAGGGACACAGGTGGGGCAGCATGGCAGACAGTAGTTGAGGCTAAGAGTGGGGTGCAGATACGATGGGGTTCACTGCCAGGGGCAGATGGGGTTCACTGCCAGGGGCAGATGGGGTTCACTGCCAGGGGCAGATGGGGTTCACTGTCACCCGCCCTCAGCCCCCCCAACCTTCCCCCTCACCCGCCCTCAGCCCCCCCAACCTTCCCCCTCACCCGCCCTCAGCCCCCCCAACCTTTCCCCTCACCCGCCCTCAGCCCCCCCAACCTTTCCCCTCACCCGCCCTCAGCCCCCCCAACCTTCCCCCTCACCCGCCCTCAGCCCCCCCAGCCTCCCCCCTCACCCGTCCAGCAGGCCCACGTCCTCATCCTGCTCCTCCTGCGCGCGCGCATAGGGCGACTGCTCCCCTGCTGCCACCACCGCCACCACCAATGGGTGGGCTGCGTGGGGAGGGGGAGAGAGGAAGGGGAGAGGGAAGAAGCAACAGCAGCGGATGCCACGACCAATGGGGGAGAGAGGAAGGGGAGAGGGAAGAAGCTCAGAGATCGAAGTGGGAGGAGAAGCGGGCACAGGGCGACCGCACCCCTGCTGCCGCCAATGCCACGACCAATGGGGCTGGAAGGGGAGAGGCGAGGGAGAGGGGGACGGAAGGGGGAGTGGGGGAGAAGGGGCGGAAAGGGGAGGGAGGGGGAGGGAGGAGGAGAGGAAGAAGGAGGGGGGACAGGCGGAGGGAGGGGAGAAGGGGCGCCACTGGCGGTTGGGCTGGCGAGGGGAGAGTGGGAGAGGGGAAGCGGAAAGCGCAGGAGAGGGCATGTAAGGGGGGGAAATGGGAACGGGGCGAGGAAAGGACGACGGGGGGTGGGGGGGGGGGGGGGGGGGGGGAGGGGGACGGCTGGGGGAGCAGTGGGGAGCAGTGGGGGGGGGGGAGGGGGTGCGCAGAGGTACAATTTCCAGTGCACTCAAGGGTGGAGCGGAGGAACAAGAAGAAGAATCGACTGGAGGGAGGAAGATGGAATGGAATATAGCGTATTTGCAAACAGCTTCACGGCCAGGCCTCGTTTGAACCCTCAGCGTTCCTCCAGCAATCTCGTTTAGAGAACCTTATGTGAACAACCCCTCGTCAGACGAGTTCCCAGTAACGAGCCTCATCGAGCCTCATCGAGTGCTACCCCGGCATTAGGAGTCCGTACCCGCAGCGTTGAAAGCGGCGGCGACGGCCTCGAGAGGACTCGCGGCGGCGGCCAGATGAATCGCCACCAACGCGCCGGCAACCGCGGAAACAATGCGGCCACGTGGCGATGCGCGACTGGCGGACGCCACGTCACCGCAGTCAACGCCAACAGCGGTGCGCGGAGCAGATTCACGGGGGGGCGCCACGTCAGATTTCTCGGCTCCAACGGCTCGGGGGGACGCGTCGTTGGATCCGGCGGCTCTCCCTGCCCGAATTGCAACGGCTCGGCGCGCAAGCGGAGCACTGACTGTCCTGAGGGGCCCACACGGACGGGAGAAAGCCGGGAAGGGGCGCGCGGACGGAAGTAGGGCCACGCGAGAGGCTCGGAGCGGCGCGGAAAGCACACCCGTCACCAGGGGCGTTGCCTGCGAACAGTGCGACGCCATGGTTGCTGTGGGGAGGGAAATGCGGGTCGCCGCTATCCGAATGGGGTTGGACTGGTAGAAAAGCAAATCGTGGGAGATTGTTTCTGGTTTGTCAGCCAAATACGCGATAGTAGGTATCTGTTTGGTATGGCAATTCAATCGTGAGGTTTAATTTAAGAAAAAAACTCTAAGACACAAATCAGTAAAAACAATATCTCAGGTAGATTGCAAAACTGTGCGGTGGCAAAAACCTAAGTAGAGCCGAGTATCTTAAACAATAATAGACTACAACGGAGAAGATATTTGTTATTTATTCATAATGAAATAGTGCACAATCAACGTGTTAATTGATGGAGAGAGTACATACACATGCCATATATATGAGTCTAGGGTATAAATATAGGTTCTGGCATGATAACTTCTTTAAAGAAGTAGAGAAGAAGAAGAGTATGGAAAGAGGAAGGTGGAAAAGGGAGAGGAGAGAGGAAAAAAAAAACTAAATAAACAGGGCACAAAATGATTGAACATATCAACAACCCATATAATAATGCGGGCCCAGCGTTTCAAGCACAGACACTAAACCTCATACACATATGCATCATACATATACTGCATGTATGCGACACTCTCAAAGCACCCTGTAATATGGTGCTAGGTACCCTGCCCCGCATCCAGTGTGACAGGTGCGGGCATCCATCCGTCGTCGGACCCCCCAACTGCCGTACTGCATGTTGTGTGGTATTTCGAGCCTGCGCGCGCTGCAACGCCATGGATAGACGTGTAGTAAGTCCTTTCTTGAATATATGTGCCGATCCATCATGCCCGTTATGCCATCCTTTCGCACAGAGCCCCGAAAAATACCGTAGGTCGGCGACGGACGGTGAAGGGGAGGCGACCGCGGAAGGCGACGAAGTCGTCGACGGCGGAACATAAGGAATAGGGGAAGGAGGAGGTGGAGGGACGTCCGCGACATCATGGTCGTCGCCCTCTGCGAGCAGCTGAATCGTCGCTGGTGAGGAATCTGTCGATAAGGAGGCATGGGTCCGTGCCGACGCTGGCCCATGCTCCGTCTTCCACACTTCCAGCGACAGGGTTTGGTAGAAGATGGCCTCGACCGTCGTGACCATCTTGTTGGTGGTCAAGTCGAGCACCTCTCAGCACCGGCGAGACGCCAAGCCGGGCCTTTGGCGCCAACTTCCCGCCATGCTGCTGCTCGGGGACCATGAACTATACCATGAAGCCCCACACATGTGCAAACATGAGGTCCGAATTCTCTTCGTACAACAGCTTGTGCGGCGTCGTCCCTGGCGGCAGCGAAGCCTGCTCGAGGCAGTTGCGCACCCAGATGGCCTGCCAAACGGCGAGGTGCCACCAGTGGTGCTTCATGCCCATTTGAAGCAACATCGTCCGCACAGACTCCATTACCGTGCGCATCTCTCGCTCCGCCATGCCGTTCTGTTGCGGCGTGTAGGGGCACGTCAAGTCGTGGACTATCCCCTTCTGATCGACAAAGTCGGTGAAGGCGTGACCAAGGAACTCCCCTCCGCGGTCCGAGCGCAGCATCTTCACCTTCTTCGAGGTTTGCCGCTCCACCACCTTCAGTCACCTCTAAAACACGCCAAGCACGTTGCTCTTCTTGGTGATCAGTCGAATCCACACATAGCGGGGCTTCTTGTCCTTCAGCAAGAATAAGTAGAGGCTGCCATCCTTGGCGGCCACGTGGAACGGCCTGTAGAGGTTGACGTGCACCACGTCGAGCACATTCTCAGCTTCCGACCCTTTTCAGAGAAGGTATGCAGCGCCATCTTGCCACCGACACACGCACGGCAGATTGGCTTCGGATGTCGGCCTGATGTCCAAGCCGGCGGCGACTCCATGCAGCGCTGAGCTCTTGATTGTGTCGACACCGATGCGCACGATTTTAGTGTGCCACATGTCCGGCGTCGACTTTGTCGCCGAGGCAATCGTCCGCAATGCAACCATCGCTCATGGAGTCAACGTCGACTTCGTCGGGGAGGGGTAGAGGTTGGTGCAGATGACACGATCGGTGTGGCGTGCGTGGCCGAGCACGTCTTTCATCGCCAACACCAAAAGCATCTCACTGTCGTCATCCTGCAGCTTCACGACGCCGCTAACCTCTAGCTTCTGGCACTCGCAGGACGTACAGCACGTCGAGGACGAGGATATACTTCCAGGCCTCCCCATGCAAGGGGAGGCCTTGGACGACCTGAATCGCCCCGTTGAAGCCTCGCACGTGGTGCACGTCGCCGCTCGGTTGCATGTCGAGGAAGGCCTCCTTAACTCCCATCAGATGATGGGAGTAGCCGCTATCAAGCAGCACCACCATCGGGTTCGCCTGCACAGTGGCAGCAACCGCTTTGAAGTCCTCGCCGGCCTTCGGCGCCAACTTCCGACTTGCTGCTCGCCGACTTCCCACCACCGCTGTGAGAATCTAGGATCGAGCTGAGAAAAGTGGGTTTGAAATGAATGTTTTCTCTATCAGCTTCTGCAACCCAACTGTCCTCAGTGGGGTCATATCCCTTCCAGCGAATCAGGAACTCGAGGGTCTTGCCGCCGCGGCGCCGATGAGTGAGAACGCGCTCCACTTCATACTCTGGTTCATCCTGTATGAGAACAGGTGGTGGTGGCGGTAGCTGCCGTCCCTGGAACTGATGGTTGGGATCCTTGTAGGGCTTCAGTAGCTGAACATGGAAAACATTGTGAAGCTTCCACGTAGTAGGTAAGCGCAAGCGGAATGTTACTGGTGTCACCTGTGCCTCAACGAGAAAAGAACCACAGAAGCGAGGCCGGAGCTTGGATGGTAGGTGAGACAGGTTCGAGTGGCGCGTGTCGAGAAGCACCTGATCTCCGACTGCTACTGAGCGATCACGTCGCTGGCGATCTGCATACTGCTTCTGGGAGGACTGCATTGTGATGAGACGTCGCTGGGTCTTCTCCCATAGCTGCTGCATGGTGGTGACGAAGTCATGTGCGGCTTGGACGTGTGCCGGTGTGGTTGGGTGCTGTTGTGTGAGTGGTTCCCGTCAGTAGCACAGGAAGAAAGGAGATTTCCCTGTGGCCGCATGTGACGCGTTGTTGTAAGCGAACTCTAAGGTCGGTAACTGTGTGTCCCAGTGGCTGATGTCGTCTTTGCAAGCTGTGCGCAGTAACTGTTCAACCACTTAATTGAGTCGCTCTGTCAGTCCGTCAGTCTGGGGGTGGTATGCTGAAGACATCGCAAGTTTAGTCCCCAGCAGTCCCATGAGCTCCTTCTAGAACTTACTGGTGAATTTTGGGTCTCTGTCAGAGATGAGTGTAGCGCGGATGCCATGGATGGTGATGATGCGGTCGAAGAAGAGGCGAGCAATTGCGTCAGCTATAGCCGTGGCGTTGGTCGGAATGAAGTAACCCATTTGGGAGAACTTGTCGATCACCACGAGTATGGCGTCATGCCCTCGTGAGGTCGAAGGAAGTCCCGTGATGAAGTCGAGGCTAACGACTTGCCATGGCCGCTCCGGTACGGGAAGAGGCTGAAGTAACCCTGCTTTTTTCTGCTTGCTACTCTTCATCCGCTGGCACGTGTCGCAAGAGGTGACGAACTGCTGCACGTCTGCTGCCATCCCGGGCCAGTAGTAATACTTTGCTATCCCTGCTAACGTCTTGTTGCTCCCGAAATGTCCCGCGTATGGTACGTCGTGAAACTCCTCCAGTAGGATCTGCCGTAGCGGGGCATAGTTCGGTACCCAAATCTTTCCTGAAACCTTCCTTACAGCTAAGTCTTTCTCCCACTGTAACAACTTCTTTTTCTCTGCCGTAGAAATCTCTGCGCCCACGGAGTACCCATGTTGGAATAGACCCTTGAGCAAAGGGTTCATCCCGTCGAGCTGGATGCCTGCTACATGACCAGGGCGGCTCAACACGTATGCTTTGTTGTGTAGCCCGGGCTTGTAGACGACGTCGTAGTGGAAGTGAGTTTCCAGGAAGTCCACCCACCGCACCTGTCGTCGAGAGAGCGTCGGCTGCGACTTCAGGTATTTGAGACTGCAGTGGTCAGTATAGACTATAGTCTTGCCCCCCTCTAGGTAACACCTCCATGCCTTGAAGGCTATGACTATCGCTAAGGCTTCCTTGTCATGGATGGGGTAGTTCAGTTCTGCTCCGTGTAATTTCTTACTGAGGTAGGCGATGGGCTGCAAACCGCGTCCGTGATCTTGCATCAATACTGCTCCGACTGCCTGGTCACTAGCGTCTGCTTCCACCACGTAGTCCTTGTCTGGGTCTGGTAAGATGAGTACTGGCGCTGTAATCAGTGCTGTCCGTAGCTGCTCCATGGCTTGGTGATGAGGAGTATCCCATTTGTAGGGCGTATCCTTTTTCAGTAGGTCGGTCAGTGGCGCTGCTTTCTTAGCGTACTGCGGCACGAACCTGTTGTAGTAGTTGGCGAAGCCTAGGAACTGCTGCAACTCCTTCACGTTCTCCGGTACTTTCCACTTCTTAACGGCTTCGATCTTCCGCGGGTCCACGTGTACGCCCTCGGCACTCACCATGTGCCCGAGAAACTGCACCTTCTTCAGGGAGAAGTCGCTTTTAGATAGCTTCACGTAGAATTTGTTTTTCCGCAGGATCTCGAACACCTTCCGCAGATGTTCCACGTGCTCCTTCATGTTCTTGGAGTAGATGAGTATGTCGTCCAGGTACACCACTACGCACTCGTCCAGCAGGGGCCGTAAGATATGGTTCATCTCTGCCTGGAACGTCGCTGGTGCGTTGCAAAGTCCGAACGGCATCACCAAGTATTCATAGGAGTCGTATCTGGTACGGAACGCCGTCTTGTTGATCGAGTTGTCCGCCATCTTGATCTGCCAGTAACCCGACCGTAGGTCCAGCTTCGAAAAGACTGTTGCACCACGCAGTTGGTCTAAAAGATCGTCTATGCGCGGTATGGGATATTTGTTATTGACTGTCTGTTTGTTCAGTGCGCGGTAGTCGATGCACATCCGTAAACTGCCGTCTGGTTTTGG